CCAGGGTCCTTGGTCACTGGTCTTCTCGCTCCAAGTTCTGAACCACACTGAGAGGGCTCCTGGCCCAGGCAGCTCCCACTTCTCCAGCCTGCGACCTCCCACGAATCCTGCCTTCTTTCAGGGAAACCCCTTATCCCAGGTGTGTATATGTGGATGAGGGGGAGAACTCAGTTTTTTCCCCATGTTTAACCTCCCACTGTGATCAAGCACAGGGGCTAGAATGGGAGACCTGGCGGGCAGTCTGCCCTGCAGTTTGGCTGGCTCACTAAGGCAGTCTACCCTGTAGCTTAGCTTGCACGCAAGATCTTTGGGAAGCCCAAGAGGGGTGAGGTGGTGGGTGAAATGTAAGGGGTGGGAGATGAAGCCTATGACTGAGCCCTTGGGGGAGGCCAGAATAAGTTTTTCCCATGCTGGTCTGCACTGCAAACAGATCGAAGAGACTAATTTGCATATCAGACAAAGATCTCTGGGATAGGGAAAAGAACACTGCGTCTCCTGGCCAATCCACGAGGATCCCGGATGCCTCCTCCTGGGCATAGCTCTGGCCACTCTCTTTGGTGAGTGTGCAGTGCCCTAGCCAGTGTGCAGGATGGCCAGTGTAGACCCTGGCCAGCGTCTTGAGAGGCAGAACTGGTCACCCTCCCCTGCATGTAGAGGCCACATAAATGCCCCACACCCAGGTGTGTCTCCAGACGCACAGTGGATGTGGCTCAGACCCAGCCAGGAGAGCTGTCCTTCACAGCTGTCTCTCTGGAGCTCTGGGAAACAGGTAGGACCAGAAGGACACCCAGGAAGCCAGTGAACATTTCCTGGGGAGTCCAACAAGAGGAGGCGGCATCGGGGATGCTGGTGGATTGACCAGGAAATGCAGTGTTCTTTTCCCTATCTCAGGCTCACCCTCCAGCTCCTCCCACACTGAAGAATCTTTGTCAAGCATGGAGAACTGTGATCCCTCCTGTTTCATAACATTCTGTGCTTCCTGTTGCCCACACATTGAGTCCGGGCACCCAGACCGGGCACCCAGACCTGGCTCCCACAGCCCCCATGGCAGCTCCACCTGCCTTTCCCACTTCACCAGCCTATCTTCAAGTGATGGCCCCGCTGGTCACAGAGGAGTTCCACCTCTGCCCAAGGTCTAACCCTCCTCCACCCCTCCCCACACCTGCATCATCTCCACCACGGCCACCAAGTCAGCCAGTGAGATTTGGTCCCCAGTAATGAACATCTTGTCCTGTAGAAAATACTCCTCGAAGAGCTGCAGGCTGTTCTTCACCTCCGCCACCGCGTGATTGATCTTCTCAGCTGAAACTTCCTCCCCTGTTATCTTTGGGATCAGCAACTGGCCAGAGTTGGGAAGAGGAGGGAAGAGGAGGCTGCACTCCTGGGCCACCTGCCCTGCCAGGGCTCTGTACTCTTGTCTGCTCGATAGCTATTGGACAGTTCCCAGGACATAAAGTAGTTTCACCTCTTTTAGCAGTTCTGATTGGTGGAAGTTCTGATTGCCAGAAGTTACCACGTGTTCACAATGATTTGGTTAGCTCATCAGGCATAAATCCTGTGATGATTGATTAGGTGATGCCTGTCACAGGCATACAATTAAAAGTAGAGACACGCCGGGCGCAGTGGCTCAAGCCTGTAATCCCAGCACTTTGGGAGGCCGAGGCGGGTGGATCATGAGGTCAAGAGATCGAGACCATCCTGGTCAACATGGTGAAACCCCGTCTCTACTAAAAA